GCATGACCGAGGGCTGGGTTTGAGCTCGTTGAGACTAATGTGGACGGGGAACATCCTTTTAATATTGCAGTCTTCTAGCATCGCAGATCCTCGATTTATGAACTCACCCGGGGAAGATTTTGGCGAGCCTGTACGCGAGCACCACGCTTACCCGGGGGTTGGATTTGAGCTCATTAGTACCTACTTGGGCGGGAAACATCCCTTTAAAATTTCAGCTTTCTAGCATCCCAGATCCCCGGAGTTATGAACTTACCCGGGGGGAATTTTGGTAGACTCGTACACAGGTACCACGCTTATCCGGGGGTTAGATTTGAGCTCATTAGTACTTACTTGAACGAGGAACATTTTCTTAAAATTTCAGCTTTCTAGCGTGTCAGATCCCGAGTTATGAACATACCTGAAAAAAATTTTGGCGGGCCCATACGCGGGTACCACGCTTACCCGGGGGTTGGGTTTGAGCTCATTAGACGGGAGACATTTCCATAAAATTTCAGCTGTCTAGCTTTTCTGGTTCGCGAGTTAGCAGCTTACTCGTAAAAAACTTTGGCGGGCTCTTACACGGGTACCACGCAGGAAAGACCACCCATTTTGGGGACGGGTGCCCGTACGTGCATGTAGATTAAGTCCCCAAAGTTTCAGCCCTGTAGCTTTTGTGGGTCTCAAGATGAAAAATCGGTACAGACGCGCAGCGCACACACAGACACTCACACAAACACACACACAGACACAGGTACATACACAGACAACCTCTCGTCAACATGCGTTTTTCGTATTGCATAGCTGCAAAAAACGCATAAAAAGACTCCGTTTGCGACACCTTGAAAGATGTTTTGGAGATGCTCAGTAGCAATTCGCCGTCGAAACGAATGAACGAATCGTAGAAGGGCTGTTTGTCCCGCCAGCTGAGTAGAATCTTAAACCCACTCTGACGGCAACAGTACTGCTTCCTGTTGCGCCGTGCCCGTCGAAAATCGGGAAAGTAGAGAGTTGTTAAATTCTTGCTAGCAGGCGTTTACTGTTGGCATTTGCTACAAACTGGGCTGCTTCGCGAATGCTTCTGCCTCTCAAGCGGTTGAGGCCAGAACGATTTTAAGTTTTTGGCAGACATATAATATTCATGCACATGAACACGCATAGATACACGCACATACAAGACAAACAAACAGCGAACAAGCACACACACAACTTTTACATTGTTTCTTCAGTAGCAAAATTACTTTTTAATGCCGATTTTTAAAGACGCAGCACAGGAAACACTGGATGGTAGACTGAAGTCAGTGGTTCATGAAGGGAAATTCGAAGACGGCGATCTTCTTGCGCAGGTAAGGGCTGCACTGCACTCATTCTTAAGCGTTATCTTGCCAGAATTTGAAGGATAATACTCAGCTAACATACTCCCACAATTAAGTCGTTTAACAGTTCATTGGCCGCTCAGATTATCTTCCTGGCAGTCTTCAGGTTTCCCAGCTCTACTGCTTATTCTGTTTTTTCCAACATCAGGCTATCGCGTTGCTGAACGGGATATCACGAGCACATGCAATTAAGTGTGATCTTGAATTTGTTAAGAATATTGTCCGACTTTAATTTTTGACAGGATTTGTTTTCTTACAGATTGCTTCAGGATGAGCGCGCTTTTCCCAAAATGCGACCGCTTGCTTTTTCCTTAAATTACAGGACTAAAGCGAACTTATTTCCACAGATCATATTTTGCAAACTGGACAGTTAGACAGGTCATTTCAACGTGACTACTGCATCCATGTGGCATCTTAAAGTAAATTACTGAAATGACTGAGGTGTCTTGTCCTAGTGTTTATCAAGTAAATTCTGTCGAAAACATAAGTTATTCCACCATTTGCAGGTTTTCTCGTTAATGTATTTAGGTTCATTAGCACAGAATGATGCGCAAAGAAAATGTTTGCAGGAAGACTTGCCGGGAACGCTTCCGACAGATCCCTTCGGCCACAGTGCTTCTAATGTTAACGAAGTTGCCTCTCCATTTGATGAAATCGTAACCAGGTGATTTAGCAGCAGCACATTACTTCAAAGCTGGAAACCCCCTAACTCACGACAATTTCTGCGCACAATACACGCCTCACACTTCAGATTAATACGCACAGTTACAGAGCGCCGACAACAAGGCCTGAGAATTGGAGGATTCCAGAATCATCCAAAAATCAACAGCAGTGCTGCGTGGCGGACTCGGCATGGTGGCGCATTTACCCATCGCTACGTCCTAAGGACGCTAGTTACTGCTCGCAAATGTACAGAATGTTCATCTATACATGTCAGCCAGGCAAACCGCTAAGAATTGATTTGTTGCAATTTTGTGAGGTAATTTCTTGTGCTACACATTTGACTAGGGAAGTACTTGTACTCAAGTAGGAGAAAGCCTTGAAAAATGTCTTAAGATACTAGTCTCCAAGCCACAACGGAATGCATACGACTGAAATAGAGAGTGGCTTCGGGAAAAAGTTCGTATGATGAGATGAGCTGACACTGACCTGCCCAACCAGGACAATATGACCAGTTCGTGTGGTCAGTGAAAAGTTCAGTGAAGAAGTTAGTCTAGCCAATTTTGGGCCGCACTCCAGTATTCAATCATCGATGAGGGTAAGCTGTCAGAATTCATACTTTGAATCAAAAAGGTAAAGTGAAATATCTCTATGCTGTTTCATTGCGGAGCATGACTGAGACCGAACTCTAAAGTCGTCAGCATTCTCATGTTTTGGTCTCGTTCAGGAATACTCATCATTTTGTGGTGTACCCAACACACATCGCTTTCCGGGAGCACGAGAAGTGAACCAGCATTCTGGCGGCAATATTGGCGTAGGCGGTAATTTTGGATTCGGCATTGGCGTGATACCGGGTTTGGACGTTGGAGTTGGTTGGGGTGTTGGAGTCGGTCCATTCCCGTGGTTCAGCGATAACATTGGCGTTGGCCTAGGCACCGGTGTCGGCGTGTTGGGAGGCAGATCACCAGAAAAGGTTGTACTACAACCACATCTTTTACTGTTCGTAACAATTATATAGATTTGTCTGTTTGGTAAGCGAATAAGAAATACTTAGTTTTTCTTATCTTTCCCACTAAGGGAGTGATTCGCACGTTGTTCAGGCTGAATCCTGCACCTTGCTGCCAGTGTTGATTGCGTCTTAATAAAGTACTGATGGCCTCCATGCACGCAGTGCTTGCAGGAACTGGTGAAGCTACTTAAGTTGTTTCGCGTTTGGTTGCGAACAGGGCAAAGTTGCCACAAATCAGCAGATGGAACAAAAAGTGGTTGCTCATTTGAAACATGATACCACAAACCATGTTACTTACGCGTCGCCTACACTTCATCATGTAATAGAAGTATTTTTTTAGGAAAAAGGTCGCAATAATATCAAGTAAATGTACTCATAGAGAAGCGATTGAATTGCATGTTTGGCACCAGTAAGAGATATTGCACCGAGTGGCATGCTGTAAATTAACTCAAAACTCTTGGACCATAAAGGCTTGCTTTTACAGCCAAACTTCAATATTTTATAGGTTCGGCGGGGCCAGGATAGCCAATATGAACAGAATGGTGCGAGCAGTTTTGGACTAAACTCGAACGCGCAATACGGCGATGGTTAAACAAATGCTGGCAACTGGACTTCAGTGTCGCGGTTTTGAAATTTGTTTTTCTGAGCGGTTCAGCTCAAACTGTTAACGCCATTTTCCGGATTGGGATCTCGGCTTTAGATAAAGGCTGGCTTCATGCGAGATTAAAACTCATCCTAGGCTGTTTATAAATGGGATGAAATTGTCCGAAGAGGTGTGTTGAATAAACAAATCGTCGTTTTGACAATATGGTTTTTCGCATAGATAGATTTGAAGTTTCTTTCATCATCAGCATCTTCAGCATAATCAGTTTGATCACAGTGGGTACTGAAACAGGGGCACGGAGATCTGCTGTGTAAACAAGGAGTAGTCAGTTGGCGTTAGCTTAGGTAGTTTGGTAGTTGACGACGTAATCACCGGATGTGAGAGTGCCCTGATTACAGGACACGCCAGTAAATGCGGATAGCTCGCGTCTGTTGTTCCGGTACATCCAAGTGCCCGGTGCTACACACTCGATCTGCAACATTCTTCAGGAAAACTTCTAAAAGGAATTTTTTCCTATTTGTCCCAGTGCATTAGATTCTGCTCTTGTATGAACTAGTCCTGGAAGTGATCACGTCCTTCTCTTGCCCGCAAGCTGATATCCCAACTTGAACTCGACCTGTGGTCGCTTATTGCCACTGCAGTAAAAATATAGGCGAAATTATATCCCAAGGCACTGCTTTTTGAGAAATTTAGATTTCTAAGAAAACTTACAATCGGAGCCCGTCTCTAGTTTTGGGAAAAAAAATCAATCATGTACGAACCGAAATGTATACGGAGAGCTGCAGAAAGAATAATGGCCACTAACCGTGAGCATAGCCACCGTTGGCCCCGTATTGCTGGCCACCAAGTTTGCACCATTCACTATTTGAACTACCACTTGACTCACCTGCAATTAGACTTATACGAAACTGACTGACCAAATACATTTACTGTCAATTAGTGCTATATGTAAGAGAGCGCCAAAATTAGGGTGGAGGGGGGCGGGGGAGAGGGGAGGGAAAGGACAGAGCAGGAGAGGAAAATTTGAGCGAAAAAGTGAGACCATAGTTTTACTTTCTTCGCATCAGGGTATAAGAGGATTCAATGTCTGAATCGACACATGGCGAGAGACCGTAGTTCCAAAATTCTAGTTTCTAGCTTTTGCACTTCTAGAGTTGAATCTCTGCGACCGACACAGGCGTATGTTTTTCATCATTGCACTTCTTTAACTCTGAATTTGTGCCATAACGCTTAAAATAAGTGGTTGGTGATGCATCGTATATTGAATTGCTTTAAAAAAAAGCTAAGGACGCACTGTTGTTCCTGGACTCCTGGAACAAACCACTTGAGCGAACTGTGGACAAACTCCTCTCGAGAAGCGACGTAGAATTGAGCACTCGTCTAAGCCAGCTCCCGGCGATCCCGCCGGCGGTGCCACCCGTGGCGGATTGCCCGTCGTCAGCGCTGGACAACAAACTGAAAAATACTTACAAATACATCCGTGGTGGCTTGGAAACAATCTGTTGCATCTGTAGGTAACTGTTTTGAAAA